TGTTTCCTTGCTGTTCTGGTAAGATAATATTTAGAAAATCAAGAGCAGAAAGGCTATACTCACCATATCCTTCAGGTGGGAGATGCTCTGTGTGGTTTGCATGTTTACCCTGCAAGACAATCAGTAACAAAGGTTAAGAGTCTGAATGTGCCAAAAGAAAATTATTCTCATATCACATTGGTAGAAAACAAACAGAATGGAGAATGAGAATTATTATTGCTATTAATGTAATCAGTAATGCAACAGAAATAGTAGATGACTGTGGGTTAGCTTACTTAAAGGAGGAAGATGCTAACAGCAATTCAGTGCGATTTGCTATGATGGTCTTAGATAGACATGATATACAAGGGAAATGACAAGTCATCATAATACAAGGAAAACACTAAAGCGAAGCACAAGCAATTTTGACAGCTATAAGAAAAATAAATGTATAATTCAGAACATAACAGAAGCTACGCTGAAATAACATTGTGAAAAGAGCAAAAGTGCCAACTGAAATATGGAGTTTAGCGCACACACAGTCTGCCAAAGCCTTTTTCATTCAGTCTTGCTGTGTTAACCACAGCAAAGCCAATGTTTATGGGTATTTATGGATCTCTAAAATATGTCCACACTTGTGTTGTAGCTAGGCTGCCAGCTTGCGCAGAGAAGCAGCTAAACCAAACCATAATAAACTACAGGAGAGATATCTAATATATTTATTCCACTCAAATGGTTTAACGTGGCAATGGAATGTAAAATGCAGACTTGGCAGAACTGAGTCATATTACAACAGCACAGCAAATGTGAAAATTCTGTATAGCGTAAGCAGGATCCCTTTCTTAAAACAGACTAGAGTCTGACATGTGATAGCAAAGCAGCTTCCCCTGTCACGGTTTCATTGTGCAACATCAACTGAGCAATGCCAGACACTGGATTGAAACTGGTGCCTATAGTCTAGCAGGGCAGTTATTTGATCCAATCACAGATTCACTGCTGCAAAATGTTCTCTGGAACTAGGTGTTAAACATGATATCTTGTACAATAATTTTCCCAGATTGCAGGAGTCTGCTGAGAATGAAAAGGGACCACTGATGAACATTTACTGGCTTCATCCAGAAGACTGAAATTAGATCATGTAACCTAATGTTCTCTTAGTTCTGACAAAAGGCAAACAAAAAGTTTGTTAGCTTAAAGCTTCATTAGTGACAATAGTACAATCCATCTGTCAGTACAGGGGCAGTGTGCTGTACTGTGAAATCCTAGGTATACCGGCGGGGCAAGAAAGACTGAAAAGGAGGAATTTTCCAAGAAATGTCCGACTTAAACATATTTTTAGTAAGGGAATTAACATGGGGCAAATTTGAGCACAACTATCAGTCTTGCACACTTGCAGAAAAACACCATCTGCATCAGAAAACAGCAATCTGAAGTTCAGTGAAGCATACAGTACGTCTCTGGCAAAATGGATGCCCAACAATGCTTCAGTTTTAAATGATTGTAACCACAATGTACTTTACAGTTTTCTGTGTTCATTGATGCATGCTGATAAACATCAACCAAGAGTGGATTTTTTTTCCCCACACAATAATCAAACTGTGGAAATGTGCTCTGTAGCTTTCAGACTTGAATCCTAACAACACTACAACAGTCAGGAGGTTAAGTTTTAGAAAAATACTGATCATCAGCAACGGATGTTAAAATGATGCACTGAAGCAGTCGAATACAAGCCAACATCAGAATCCACTGCAGGGCATACTGTCATTATGAAATAAATTAGAACGATATGTGTAGCGTCTACACTGTGTACAAAGACACCAGAAAAAAAGATTTGACCTTTTAATGAACATCAAACTGTGCATAAATACATATAGAATATTTAGCACATTCTGCATAATGGTGTAATTGCAAACGTTTATCTGCATATTTAGCATAGTTGTAAGTATGACTGTGCAAATAGAAGTGTGCGAGTCTGTAAAGCTGGCTGCTACTGCGGAGCTCCAGCTCATTAGGCCCAGTGGGTGATGGCAGCAGGTTGTCAGCAGTGGTGATTTCGTTAACCTTTACCTCAGTGCAGACACAGAGGCGAGGCAGACATTTCATCCTGACCTAAACAATTAACAGATCTTCTGCCAAACAGGTTATGCTAATATTCTGTTTTCAATAAAAGGACTGATCCCCCTTTGGAATAAAAGGACTGATCATAAAATTATTTCCTGTGGTGAAAATTAAACTGAGTCATTTGTTCAGATATTTGATTTGCATCCACATATGGAAAGCTTTTATAAAGTTTTATTCTATAAAAGTAGGTAGCACTCAATTTATTTCTGATAATTTGCTTTCTATTTTGATAAACCAGTGTGTTCTTACCTAACATGAATATTGGATTGGCATAAAAAAAATAAATTCAACACCATTTAAGATTCTTCTTACGCAAATGGGTCCTAAAAACCTGTCAACACCCTAGGCCTTCTGAGACAAACAATAACACATATATAGTATAAACAATTAGCTTTCAAATATCACTATACAGTGTATTATTAATATGACAACAAATAACATAATATAAAAAATATAAATAAATAAATAAATGTGACAAAATAATAATTATTTCTGCATGCATATTAGGTTAAAAAATAGTCAGTGGAAGAAAAATCCAACTGAGCAAATTTTTTATTTTTGTAATTTTGTATGAGTGTTTAACTGTCTTTATTGCATTTTTTTTTCAAATCATCTTGAAGCCTACTTATGTTAAAGGTAGAGAGCCATATATATATATATGACAATGGGAATACACAGCAATATGCAGACAGTGATGGATGTCAATTTTCCACAAGCAAGGAAAAAAAACAAACAAAAAAACCCAAACAAACAAATTATGCTTCTCAGCTCAAATTCAGTCCTCTTAGACTTTGCTCTGTTTACCATGTCAAATGGTCACTGTGTTTCCAATGGTTGAGTTCAAAATCACTTCCAAGCAGGGAAGCGGGTTGTGTTACTATGACAATCAGCAGCTGCAGCACAAAAGTTTTATATCTCACCTCTCATCCAATGAGAGGATGACAGCAGAAACACCTTCAGGAAACTTCACAGACTACCACAGGTTTAGTTAATGTGAATTCTGACTATTTCTTTATTGATAAAGTAACTAAATTATGAACTTATTTAATTGACATGACACATTGGTGAAATTTGATAGGTGTCTGCATTTTCCTAAAGTGTTACCATTTCAGCTTTGTTTATAACAACCATCAGCATTATCATTATTATTCAAAATACTTGTGAAAAAAATAGAAATGCAGTATTTTTTCTTTCCATTTTGCCCTCCACACTGAAAAACACCTTACCTTAGGAGGTGACTGTTGCTGCTGCTGGGGGCCCTGCTTGTTGGAGGCTGGCTGTGCATGCTGAGAATGTGGATGATGGTGGGGATGGAGGGCCTGTGAAGACGAATGGTGTCCTTGCAGGGGCCTAAGGGCACGAGGGATGAACTCTGGAGCCAATGGGTTGAGGACATAGGTCTTTTTGAGCTCCAGGGCCTCCAGCTGAGCCTTAATCTGCTCGAAGGTGATGCCATGTAGGCTCGAGTTTTCATGGCAAATGGAAATAAAGTGCTCCCAGAATTTTCTGGAAGTGGGCAAAAACAAAAACAAAAAATGTTGAAGATTTTCTTCTAGTCTCTGGTATCGTTTCTTATTTGAATTGGGTGTTTAATGGATTATCAATTGAATTTTTTTGCCTGCCAGTGTTACAAATGACTTGGGGGATAAACATAAAATATCACGACTATTTATAGCAAAGAGGCATGTGCACAGTGCAGAAAAACTAGAGGGAAGAAGGAAAACGAGGAAAAGGAAAAATCTTTCTAAAGCATTGTGTACTTTATTTAGAACACAATGCTTTCCATTGATATGATTAAAACAAACAACAGCTGTCTATAAAAGATGGCTAACAAACTAATAGAAAAACCCTAAACCCTTGAACTGTGAGGAACCTGGTGGCGCTGTTATACTGTCGTTGGCATTTTGCTGGCACGGCTTGAGGCAACTTCTCACTTAATGTTAAGAGTCATTGTAAACCCCCTAAAAACCTACTAAAAGCATTTTGAGCCGTTTTCTCCTTTAATTTGTCATCTGACTTTAGTTCTCTTCTGTCCTGAAATGTGCAGTCAAAAGAATGTGGCGATATAAGACATTTACATTTCAAAAACAAACTTTTGTGCTGTAGGAGTAGCTGTATCATTAGCAGTCAAGTAGGTGTCAACATTAGGATAAAATGGGAACTGCTATGAGGGAAATGTTGGGCAGGCTATCGATCGTGTCCTAATCTGATTAAATGATGAGTAAGTAACCCTTTAAAAGAAAAAATAGAAAAGGAAAATGGTACTTATTCTGCCAACTGTGCAGACTGTATTTTTTCAGCTCTCATTAGGAAGAAAGAAGTGCAGAGTTTTTGTTGCCGTTTGTGAACTGAGTGGCAATCAGAAAACATTTTTAAAACTACAACACCTTGCAGGTAGAGGCAATCATTTAACCTGTTCAGTTAATAAAAATATATAAATATTGAATAACAGCTTGGCTGGCTACTACACTGACTTAGACATTTTGTTTGCATAATAGCATAAACAAAACCTAAGCAAAGACAAACTACAGCTGCTATGGAGACAGCTGCGGAGGTGGGTTAAAAAGATTCAAATAGTACAGAGAGGATCTGGCAGCTAGTAGTGACCCAATTATGGTTTACAGAGTACGCCACTGCTCTCTCTGTGGTGAAAAATAAGCAGATATTCAAACGTGAACAAACTCGACACTTAACAACTTTTATGCACTTACATTAATTTATCTGATTATCAAACTATCTACCAAATGATCAACTCCTAAACCATTAATATAGTAGTTTTAATTAAACCTGAAACTTTGCATTTCAATCAAACCTTGGCAGTCTGATTTAAAATGCACTGTGCTGGTGTATAGAGACAAAATTATTAGTAACCAACAATATGAAAATATTAATTAGGCTATATTTACCTGCAACGCCCAACAGAACATAGCGCGATGGGATCTCCCACAACTGCAACCAAGGACTGGGCTCTGGTGATGGCTGTATTCAACAGCTTGTAGTTGGACAGGAAACCATAGTCAAGGTCCTCTGTCGAGTCCTCAACCAGCTGCTCTTTGCGCTTGATGGCCGTTTGCTTGTGCTTGCAGGTATGCCGTGTACGCACCGTACTAAGGAACAGCACCCGGAACTGTTTGCCTGCAAATATATTTTTAAATAAAACATTTTTAAGCCCTCTTAAAAAAAAAAAAGAAAAAAAAAAAGCTAAACTCAGAAATCTTAAGAACAGAGATCTTTGGAAAATTCTAAAAAGATTTATTTAAAAAGATATGTTAGCAAGACATAACAGTATGACAACAGAAAATATTACAAACAAAAAAAGTAACCCATTTGAAATCAAAATAATTATTAGAAGAAGATTTTAGGAACTTGCTATTCTCCATTTCAATTTAACTTTTCTCTTTCACTATCAAAAAACAAACCAAAAAACCCCAACAAAACACAGAAAAGGAGAAAAAAGGCAAAACTTTATAGCTTACAAGACCTTGCCGAAGACAACCAACTATCAACAATCAACTAAAGTTGTGGCCGAATAAATTTCTCCAGTAGCTTATGTGACATTTATTATATTACTGGAACCTGAATGAATGGTAATTACCGTGTTTATAAATGTTTATTAATAAGTATACCTGTATTGCCTGTTGAAAGAAACTATTGAAAAACATTACGTAAATCTGTTAAATTCAACTACTAACCACTAACTCGAGTTTTTTTCCGTGTCCATGTGTTTCATGTATGATTAATGAGGGAGCTAATGACCTGTGGAAAGCAGCTGAATGTGATACAAATGAAAGCTGCGTGAGACCGACACAGAAAAGAGACTTGGGGAAAAAAAGACTTATTGTACAAATCATATTATGAAATCTTCTTGATTTCATAATGTGAGACACAATATGAATACATTCGAGCTACACCCAAGATTGAAGGCATTTGTTTAGTTTGTCTCCTTCATTTTAAGCAACATTTCAAAGAGAAAAATAGGAGACAACCTTCACAGAATCAAGCATTTCTGCTTAGGGATTTATGCTCTGAACTTGTTTATATTGTTTGTCTTTTCGAATGCCTTACCATAGATATCTTTAATTACGATGATGTTTTAACACTTGCTAACATAGAATACTACCAAAGCCATCCTAAAATATCAGCTCATTAATTTAAGATATTTTCTTTTTACTCATAGAGATGTATCACCTTAACACATGACACACAAAGCACAGCATGTGCTAGTAAATATTTGTTCCTCACCTTGGACATTGAGCACTCTTTCCACGCTGACCTCAGGCATTCTCTTCTTCCGTAGCTCAGCACGAATGCGGAACACCTGGTCAGCATATGGTGACACCACCCCAATGCTGCCTTCATCCAGCTTCCCCCAGGCCACTGGCCACTTTTTGCGCAACTCCTCCACCCGTTCCACGATCTCAAATACCTTTGGAGAGACAATCAAGACATTTGGATTTAGGGTCTTCTTTAAACAACTTTTTAAATAAAAATGTATCCCACTTACAAAATAAACATACGTAAGTGTTATAACATAGCTGTAACTGTAAAAACTAAACACAGGCTTGCAAAACAATTAATATTCATTTAAAAATACAATTTTAACATGAAGCATCAGTCCTGACAAATAAATAAATAATAAAAAGTAAAATGTTAAATAACTGGACTGAGCTATATTCTCCAATACCTTCACGACTGATCTTTTCTACAACCACTCTAAGGTGATGCTACCTGACAATACTGATCTGGACTCATGCCTAATGAAATGCTTAAAAATCTCCTTTTTTTAAGTTAGCCCAACTACCATGGCTGAGGTGTGCCTTCTTGGTAAAACTGTGATTCAGTTATATACAATCCAAACTTAAATTTTAAGGAAATGAGACTCCAAAGCAACAGAAAAGAAACCAAACATTCACGATAAAACCATAACTGTGACAGTTTGCTGTGTCTGCAGCATTTTGAAGACCCCATGAAATGTGTATTTAAAAATGTTGTTTAAAAAAAAATAAACTATTGGATAGATATCGCCACATCTTTAAGTTTAAAAATTCCTACAACTGGCAAACTTTGATGGAAATAATTTTCAAGTTACAATTTTAGAATTAAGAATTCTGTTATTAAAGTTGAAGTGGTTGCTTTTTCAATTTTCACTGAGCTTAGCCCTAAGGGTAGAGGCTTTGAACAGACTCTTGCACAACAGACATAAGATGTATGAGCGTGTTTTACTCAATGTATACTATTTCACCATGGGTCCTGTATCAAACAAACAGGAGGTAATTAATGTGGCATTGAGAACAAGAACGATCATTGCTTTAATTGCTTGGAGCATGACAATAAAGGCTTAGGGTCCACTGAAAACCTAAATAAGAACCCATCCAAAATTCGGACTCAGTAATTTATGCTTCATGTGTTTTAATGTAGGTCTAAGTTGGTATCACATTTGAGTTTATGGGTTTCATCTCAGGAATAAAAGGCAATGTGCGTGACAAATTGCAATGATTTGCCAAGGCAAAGACTGGTAACAACTTTAATTTCTATGTAATTCAAATACAGAATGTTGAGTGTATAGGTCCACATCTAACAATCATGCATAATTATGTCTCTGTAAAAATCAGACACTAGGCTAAAGTGCGTTTTTTACTGCCAAAGATTACTCAACTTTTAGTTATTTTTGTATTGTATTATATTACTCTAACCAGCTAATGTGTGAAGTTGGCAACTATACTGGTAAGAAACCATTTCTTGATCTTTTATTTTAACTAATTTTTTTTTTTTATCTCTTAGAGTTTTTACAAAGCATCCTTTTTTGTAAACATGCTTTTGCACAAAGCTCAGTTACGGCACTCTGAGTTTAAATAGGTGGAGTTCAGGGGCCATAGTGAGTAGCAGTTTATATGTTTTAGAAGTGCATAGAGGCCAATACACAGCGAGTATAATTATACACATAAAACACAGGAAACTGGTTTAAATATGCTTTGGGTTGCATTTAGTACCAGTCCAGAGGGGGTCATTACGCCACTTATTTAACACCTTGAATTATTTAAACTGAACCACATTATTTCCATAAGATGTTTATAAGACCAAAAATATTTCTTGAAGGCTTTATATGCCATACCTCAGCATTGTTGTAGTAGGCAGTGCTATTCTTCTCCTGGACATCTTCTCCTCTTGCTGTGAAGAAGGTCAGAGGGTAGAAGTCCTTATGGGAGGGCTGCTTCCCACTTGCCATTAGCTTCCCATCATAGAACAATTCTGAAGTGTAGCTTTACGAAGGGAAGAAGAAAAGGAAAAATAAAAGAGTGACATGAATTTGGAGGACAATTGCTTGATCTTGGTAATTGTTTTTAATTTTTCAAATAGATGTTCACAAAAACTGATATTAACGTGAACCACATGTCCCGCATATATGATTCATGCATTCCTTGAAATTAAGCTTTACTATAAGGATGGGTATTTGTTCACTTTTGTCATGATCGTCAAAACGTGTTTGGATCAAAATGGAGCAGTATTGAAACTCTACTGTGCCCAATGACAATACAAACTTGCCTTATGTACAGAGTATGCATGTTCATGGGTACAATGTGTATACTACCAGTACTAGTGACAACTTAAAGTATAAAAATTAAACAAACATTTTGATGAGAGGTGATCCTTTAAGCTTCAAAGATGTACAATGAAGACAACTTTGTACTTGCTCTCTAATTGTCTGCCACTAGTATTGATTTCTAAAGTGATCCAGGGAGCATGAAGTTGGCATGAGGCTGTTTGTGATTTTATAGCAGCAACAGAGTTAAGCCCAATAGAAAGATGCCACTGCAGTGGAAACCCAAGCTCTCTATGATCAAAGAAGGATCACTGGCAGGCAAACCGTGGTTAAACCAAGATTAAATTTATGTAAATGTGATCATCTACACATGTAGCTGTTTATGAGGTCCAATTTGAACAGTGAAGGAAAGCCATAATGGATGAAGACTGCTAGACCAAAGATCTGTAACTGAAAAGGGTGGTAAAATGGACCAGGCCCAGAACATGGGAACGTGTAACTATGCTGCCCAAAATTGAGTCTCAAAAAGTGCAGGAGCAGTCTTTGTCAGTAGTTATGACTGTGTTGTAGAGCAGAAACTGACCAGTAGATCAGCTAACATAAATCTTAAGTTAAACTATTTTGGGATAATAAACAAGTACAACAAGAAGAAGTAAAGAGCTAAGTGGTCTGAAACCCAGATACACATACGTGGGCACAAGTTGGTCCTAGAATTCTTTCTACTGAATCACTTTCAGATAAATGACGCTACCCCACCGTGCACCTGTGGAGTGATGTGACTGTGTATAGACACAGCCAAAGGGCATGGCTTAGACAGTTATTCCTTTTTTCCTTCAAACTATAATATCATGGATATCATGCTGTATTATGCTTAATAAGATGAATGAGGCACTATTCTGGCAACATACAACACTAAGCAGCAGACTTACCAATGGTAACAAATGGTAGCAGAGCAGGTTTATTTTTCTGTAATGATGTCAGGCAGCAAGCCAATAATAAATAAATAACTGTGTACCTGTGTTGAGATGGGGGGTAGCAGTTCATTTTTAAGGTGTTACAGTAACACAACAGCAAGAAAAGACTGCAAGAATTTTGGTTATGGAGTTCCAGAAATGAGTTATTTTTCCATTTTGATGGCAGCCAAGAGTAATTAAAGTTGCAAAGGACAAATCCTTTTTACTGCAAGATGGAGCCACAGCAGGAGGACACAGCAATGGAGACAGATCACCAGCATGGCTGTGGAGAGCTTAACACTGAGCCAGCTAGCAGGTGAGTTGGTTCCCTGAGCAGCAACACAGTTAACTGTCTAGTTATCCACCTGCTGTCTAACATGGTCCCTTTGGATTGAGGAACAAACTTTTCGACTGGTCAAAGCCTTAATGTCTCAGTAATTATCAAAAATCACCAGGTCAGTTTAACTGAGAAATTGCAGCACAAGTCAGCTTGTGTCTGACATATATTCACTCAGTAAAGCTTAAGACCCCATCCCTCTCAGCCTCTTCAGACAGTACTCAAGACAAGGTAGCAAGGGAAAGCAGGCACTTACTTGATGATAGCTTCATGGGAGCGGTAGTTCTCACAAAGGAGAATACGACAGGGGAATTCAGGGGGGTAGTGCTCATACAGTCGATCCAGCAGGGACACGTGCAGGTTGCGCTCCCGTGCAAACTCGCTGTACACAAATGGACTGAGCTGGAAATTGAAGGAGAAGAAAAAAAGAGGATGTAGTAGTAGTGAAGGAAAGCTATGGTAGTTATAAAATTACACCCAAGATATTTCACGGTTCCCCTTCATTATTTTTCCTCTTTAATGAAGTCCATCAAAGCTTTTCCATGTTGACCAAATATCTAAATAAATCATTTGTTATTGGCAAGTGACATTTTACTGCTGACAGTCAGTGAAATTGTATACAGTGTTTGATTGTAATGTAAATTAATGATGATGATAACTTTCTGTAGTGATCTATACAGGACAGGAAAGTCGACAGAAGAAAGCTGAGTGTGACTGGGAAAGAAACATATGGATGCATTGGTGGACACTGCGTCTTAATACTGTTTTTCTTTCCTCCAAGAAATAGAGAGATCAAGTAATTTAAGCACAACTCATGCTGCATCTTCATCCACTTCACTACCGGTAATCCTGTGCACAGTCTTAAAACCAGCAGACGAGGAAATTAGGTTTTAATTCCTTGTGTTGGCTTAGAAAGCTTGACTGACATGAGTTTATATTTTGTTTTTTGTGGTTGAAGTGGTCTCTAAAACCACAGAGCCACAGTAGCTGCTGCCTGTTCCTTTGTTTTCTGAAGTAGGTCAGATAAGAACCTAATAATAAGCAAAGTGCAAAATGGTATTACTATTCCTTGATGTCCCGGGTACCATCTGTAGTTTGATCCATCTCCTTAAGTGTTTTGACTTTGGGCTAAAGAAAAACCTCTTCAAGCATTTGAGACCCCAAGACACTATAATGTAGTTGTTGTTATTATATAGCAATTCACAAAGCAGTATAGATACAGTTAGTCTTTAAAAAGGGCCACTTTTGAGGCTTCTACAAGCTCAAAGTTGAATTCTTACTGTCTTTGTTTACCTGCATGTGGTCTCCGGCCAGCACGATGCGGGTTGTCTTGCTAGCTAGAGCAAAAGGCATGATGGTTTCACACTCCATGGCCTGGGCCGCTTCATCCAATAGGATATGAGTGAACAAACCTATCAAAACAGACAAGACACAAATATCTATTCACCTGTACATATATTACAATTTCACTGCTTCAAAATTGCTCTTTATTCCCATTTATTACGATATACTTTTCTAATAAGAGCATAAAGGTGAAGAACTTGCAGCATTGACCTTTCTCGTTGAGTGGAAAAGTGGACACACATCAAGTCAACACTGTCAACAGTTCTAGGCTAATGTTGATCTTAAATAAAATGTTTATCTTTAGTTTTCTGTTGTTTGTAATGTTGACTCCATTACTTATTAATTAAAAAAAAAATCTTACATCAATAAAATCTTACAAATTTGTCACACAGAAACAACAAACATTCATGCTCTACGACCAAACAGTTTTTTTGTTTGTTTGTTTTTTAAATCTCTCTCACACACGCTTCATTGGTGTCCTTTATATTTTTTTCTCCCATTGTTTTAACCAGTCTTACAACTTAAAGGCAGGGTTCCGTGCACATACAAATGACTAAACTTTTAGTCTAACCCTGCCTTAAAAAGCTCTAACAGAGGTCGGCAGAATGAGGGGAGAGGGATAAAACAGCATGGCAAATGAGTGCTACAACAAGGAGCAAGGAAGAGAGGCTGAAAAACAACCAGCAAACATCCTCTAAAGCTACACTATTTCCACAGAAAAGGACATGCAGATATGAAATTTGACAGTGGGAAATAAAAAAACTGACAAAAAAGTAAACAAACAACAACAAAGAAAAAGGGCCTGGCAAGAAAAGAGGTGGAGCAGTTTAATTTGAAGCAACATTCAATCCTTAGTATCAGCCTTTGAAAATGCAAAAAGCCTGCAAAATATTTTTTGCAGGCTTTTTTCCCCCCCAACTACAAAGCCTGAAACCAGTGTTATCGCCTTTAACGCTGTATGCACTTCACTGAAGCATAGGCTGGCACTGTTCCCTGCAGTGATCCTGATAAAATGGTAAACATTTTGATGCAACAGTCCATGCACTGCACACAGAATGTGAATAAGTAGGTTTATACAAAGTATAACTGAGAAATGTCCCATCAGAATTATAAAGTCTATATCTTGTAATGTTTCCCTTATTTTCAGTTAATAAAGGGAAAAATGCTTGTTGCAGAGCTTACAAATATTCTAAATAACTACATGTAACTGTGCGTTAAACAATACACATAAATAGTCTCTGGCTTGGCTTTTCAATAATTAATTTAAAATATGAATTTGGATGCATCATAGCAAAGTTTCAGTGTTTCACTATGCAGAGAGCAAAATGTTAGTGAAAACAACTTTAGAAAGTGTTGTTAAATTTTCATTTTTCCTTGAAATTTCCCTCTTATTTGCTATAAACTGACCGTGCGAGTCCTACAACATCATCTGTACATGCACTTAGAGTTTATTAAGCAGTGGAGGGAAATTTAATTATCATGGAGTGCTGATTACCATAACATGTGAAATTAAAAGCATGTATAAGACAAAAAACATTGGCTGTTTGTCCCGTTATAAAACCAAAAAAGGGACGAAAAGGCCTTAAGATGAATAATTTCCTTATTATACACTCAATATCTTGGTATGCAAAGAGCAAACATGTTAGAATAATAAATATAAAGTTATGTGCATGTCAATTGACTTATAATACTCAAAAATGAGAACATTTTCTCAGGCAGATGAGTAGAGATTAGTTGCGGTGTGAGAGGGAAGAAAAGATCGTCTTTATGAGCATCAGATGGTCAGAAGCACAAATGAATTTATATGGTGCTTACCACTGCACTTTGGAAATGCCTCAGAGAAATTATTCACAAATTCATTTGTTGCAGCCATCAGTCTCTGGGCTAATAATTGAAGTTTTTGAATTTGCACAAAACCGTAGTAAGCGAAAGAAGGAGAGTAGGGTAATAAGGAGGTGAAAGAGATCAGAGGCACAGAACTGCAGAAATGATTTGGTAGAGAGATTACTCTTCAATAATAAATGACAATTTCTTCTACTCACACGCCCAGTCTCGCACATTCTCCCTTTTAGTCTTTTTTTTTTTTTTTGGCTCTTTTCACACTGTAAAAGTGATTTGAAAAGTGTGCAAGTGTGAAAGGGTCTTGGAGTGCGTAACTAAACCTACAACACAAGCTTTGTAACGAAGCTCTGAAAGCTGTGTGGAACTCCCCCATCAGAAGGACAGTTTCTGATCATCTACTTGAATGTGTTGTGGCATAGTGTGATCTCAAGGAAGGGGAAACAGCATTTCCTGACATCCATGAACTTCAGTCAGTCATTGACTGCAAAGGCTTTTGCCACCAATTACTAAAATACCCCCTATATTTAAAATTATGCTAGATTGTCCATCGTTTCTTTGCATCTGAAACTTGAGGAATGTGTATAAATAATAGTTGTAATTGCTGAATGGTTAATGCAATACTTTTGTTGAATGTCTGCCCTTCAAGCACATCAGTGGTTTGATTTACAATCCACTTGGGTGGTGGATTTTAAATCACAGAAGGAAAGTTGCAAGAAAAAGAAATACAAATCCAACTTCAGTTAGTTATGGGCCTAACTGTATATAGAACTTTGCACAGTAGAGAAAAGTAATGCATCCAGGCAAAAACATGCTGTGAGGGCTGCACAAATTAGTAGAAGCAAAGAATGTCTGTTTTTGCTGGGAATGGGATTTTTGCATATCATAATAACAAGAATTTGTTAAGATATATAAAGGCATGCTAAACAATACATGCACAATGTCTACATGCCAAATCCCATACCTAGACCATGAAAAAAAAAAAAAGCAAAGTCATCAAGCCAAACATAAAAGCCTAAACATCATCTTTCGGGGGACCTGTGTTTTGGGTGCGAGATTTGTTATCGCTACTTAGAAGACTTGCTGGCTCCCAAGTGTCTCGTTTCCTGGAGATTTTCATCACCATCAACCAACAGGAGAACAGGACAGATGAAACGTGGGGAGGAGGGCTAATGATGTAAAAGTACATTAGAAACAGGCAGATGGTGTTTCCAAGCAACCGACAAAGCCCCCTCCGCTGACACATTAGTGTCGGTTATTAGCCTGCACTGACAAATTGGTTTGTTTTCCATGTCTTTTACATAACTTAAATGAGTTCCAACCCTCTATAAATGGTGGGCCCCTGCCAGCAATGGTTGTCAGAGTCAGTGGGGATGACCAAAGAACAGGAAATGAGAGTGACTGTGTTCTGTTTGCATACATTTACAAGCCTTTAAAAAAGTGTGCACACGCATGCTCACGTGCTGTAAGACATTTTAGAACATACTAGAAAACTCATTTATTAAATTGCTGAAATTATGGTTGAACCATTCTGGGAATTCGAGCAATTTTTTGTTGTTGTCGTTTTTTTACCGTTTCTCAGCCTCAATTATTTAATCAGCAATGCAAAAAACAAGAACAATCCTGAGTTAAATTAAGCCCCATCTCACACACAAACCACACTTCAGCATTCATTCAGCATGTATGCCTGATATATAATGTGTCAGCTACTCTGGCTGGCAAGTTTAATCCAAGTGCAAATACTGGTATGCCAAATAAAAGCTGCTGAGAACAATGGCTGCCTCAACCAATAGGTCAGCGTGACTTAATGGGTTTTTTTGTTTGTTTGTTTTCATACGACTTACCAGGCTCCAAGTCAAGCTGGCAGAGGTACTGGGAGGTGCTGAGGGTGACCACCACCACGCGGTGCCTGAGGATGTCCTCCCTTGTGGGCATCTGGAAAGTGATGTGTGTGCTGGAGATGAGACAGTACTGCTGGACCACTGGGTGGACCGTCTTCACCCAGCGGTTCCTGAAGTATACCCTGGAGTGAGCAAAGAAAGCAGAAAGATCAAGAGTTACAATCACAAAAAGCAAATACTCAAGTCTCAGTGTGAATGAAACTGTTAATTTTCATTTAATTTTATATGTTTTGTCTCACTTAAAAGCAGATAGACTGGAAATGCTTGTAAAAATGCATGACTGCACATGATATCTGATGTGCACCTCAGACTGAGCGCAATCTTATCCACACAGAAGGCTGCCAAGAGCAGACCCTTTGGACATACTTTCTGCAGTGGTGCACTTTCAACTCTGCCCCTAAATATTCAAATAACTTCTGTATTGACTGAGTTCACTCAAAGCAGACAAGTGGACCCAAGAGGAGGAGGCTCCAATGCTTATGGAGGAATTACACTGGAAGCTCTAGAAATCAGACCGACTGCTCATGTGAAACAAGTCATTTGATTGCCCATATGGTCTCCAGGCTTGTGTGTGAAAACACAAACACACAGCCTAACCCCAGCCTGGTCAAGGAACACACTGATTCCATGTCTTTGGTGACTTCTGGCACTGCTGAAATGTGATTAGAAGTCAATGATGCAGTATAAGGAAGCTGTCAGTATCTTCGAGTGTATATCTGCTGTCTTAAGGAGTAGTTCGAAAAGCCGGAATGTTCATGAGGTCAAATCCCTCAAGTCAACAAACGTCTGCTTGTTACCACTGCAGGGCAGAAAAAAACAAAACAACCCACGTACATGGATGTATAACTCTGACTATGTGCCCAATAACATTCATCTAGTTAATGTCTAGTTGAGTTTTTATTGATGCTATCCAGCTAGAATGGTCTTTGCTGACATATAGGGCAAAAGGTAGAAATACCAGACATTTTAGAAACACTTATCACTTCTGTAAAAAACACCCAACCCAAAGTATGTAAACTACAGAGATGTGTAATACATTACTAAAACTGTTTTTATTTATTTACCAAGAAGATGAACACCTGTACCTGACAGGTTTTTCTCAGCATCTACAAACACTAGCTTATGTGGTATTATTTTACAACATAAAATTGCAAAGAGACTTAAACACTTTAAAATCCAATATATAATGCTCCCCCCGGGGCACTACAGCACGTTTTATCTACTGTACATACTAAATGCTACAAAACAAAACGAGAAGCTTGTTTTGCCCCTCAGCCATCTCTTGTTCCGTAGGCGTGTTTCTTTACCTGAGAGGTCTGGCATGCTGATTGCCTGCTTCAAAATAAGGATGAAGGTAGTCCTTAATGTAAAGGTCAGCCGCACTGTTGGAGTGGGTGCAGATCAGGACCCTGTAGAGACAAAAGACAAACAACTGTAGGCATGAATCATCATACGCAGTTGCTGAAACACTGTATCGATATCTTCCAAAACCAGCAGCAAGAATAAATTATCACCAGGGTACAGTGGCACATAAACTACCTTAAGAAATGGTTTCACTTCATAAGTTTTTTAATAAAAAGTTTAAAATGAAGTTGCATGTTTGTTTGTTTGTTTTTTAAATAACAAAACAGTGGTTGTGAATCCTATCAGTTCATTTTGATTAATAGCACATGGCTTTCCCAAAAACATAGTATAACATTATTTTTGTATATCTATACCTTATCTATAATATTTCATGATTAAACTGCATTCACTAATGCTATACAAATACAGAAATATAAGGAATAAAGAAAAGGGATTTATTTAATCTCTATACCATTCTATTTTCAGTAGAAACCTTAAAAAGTAAACTGATATTAGTATCCGGGACAGCAAACCCAGAGCTGTTCACCCTGACAGCAGTAACAACTCCTGTTCATAATTACACTTTTAAACATTCATGTAGCATCACAGCTAAAGATGTACAGAGAAAGCTTCCAATATTAAATACGGTAATTCACATCTTGAGCACACCTGACCAGGGTCGATATACGGTCTTGTTAACGTTTTTAAAAATATGGTGAGCCAGAAGCACTAATCCATGGGCTCACCTCCCCTTGTCATAGCTTTTAAAATATCTATAATTCATCTTAACCACAGAATATTAAATGTATTCAGAGTGAATTGAGGAATGAATATTAGATTGCTACACATTTTCCAAGGCTGTTTTCTCTCTTCCATTACACATACACATCCTGGTCTTTCTTATTAAAAACCAAAATGGTAACTTTTGTTAGGGGACACTGTCCGAGATATTACATTCATTTTTTATAAAGACCAGGGAACCATTTATGTGCTTGTGCTACATCGGTTTGCTTCTAACACGGGAAATTGCAAAGTTTCCTGTGGGTATCTACACAGGGAGGGAGCTTACTAATGATGAAAAATGCCAATGGAAGAAAATCATACACTGTTTTGTTGTTATACAACACTGTGTGGGCCACTAAAGTGACATAGCTTGATTGATCACAATATAGTTGGCACGCACTTCCATTCTGGCCCTGAAAATGTGTTGCAATCAGACTAACCATGTGCATCAACCACACATTGACACAAATTCGTCCAAATGACCAGCAGAGTTTGTCTTCAAGTGATATGGCCTAGACAATACAAACCATAGACAACTACACAGCACAACACAGGCTCCAACACACGCACAGACACACACCACAGTTTGACACTTTATAGCACTGTGATTTCGCAACTTTAAAAAGGTCAAACCCAAGGCAGTGACGGCCACTGAAACGAAAACGGCGGCCACTGCACAGCCCAGCCCCAGGATACATCTGTCATTTCTTTTGACTGAGCTCCCCTACTGCATTTATAAGTGATATTAACTTGATTCACATCCACATTTCCCTTTCAAATTTCCCTACAAATACCCCATTGACACTTTATGATACATAGCAGGGAGTATCAGTAATCTGCAAAAATGATTGCTTGTGAGATCAAGGTTGCTGACTATATTTATATGATGGTGATTGAAACCATTTATTTGTAATATTTCACTAATGTTTATCAAGTTTGTCTTTTATCCAGTGATGAAGCAGAGGAAACTTACTCAATGACAAAAAAACAAAACAAAGATTAACCGTAAGATGTAGGGAAAAAAAGTTCTCATATTTCATTGTTAAAACATCATTTAGTTTGCAATTTTGTAAATTACACCAGTGCCTGCTTTTATAAATTGCTCTGCTGTACCGAATACAAAAAAAGATATTTTATTCATTTGTATATTCATTTAGCTGTGCCTTTAATTATCACCATTCGTCTTAGGTTAATTTTACTGACAGATGTGATAGTATTTCTATAATTTCACAGTGAAAGTGGAGTAAAAATACAGTCCTGCTGTGTTATTCTAATTATAGCCTCCTTATCTTAGCTTTAAGTATTACAAAACTTGACTTTATATGTAAAATGCAGTACTTGGGCTTTTTACAGTTTACTACTCAATCATCAGGCGATTACTGCTGGTATGGCAACCAATGTAATACCTTATGTTATTAGTTATGAATCATTTAGTTAATGTAAGTCAAATGTTATTGAAAACTAGCGACTATCTACTTGGCACTTCACAACTACAGTTTGAAACAAAAAAAGTGCTCCATCTATCATTGTAAACATTACATTTAGAACTTCATAAACATTCATTCACAAATACAAAAGAAGCTGACAGTATATCAGGGATCTGGGGTGGGTGGAATCCTATCTGTTAAAAATAATTCAATGTATCTTAAAACATTAACATGCAAACAAACAGAGAAGAAGATCAAACGATCACAAACCACAAACAGAAAAGAAAAGGATCGCAAACCTGCTGTGGTCTTGGCGGAGGATGTGCTTTACAGCCTGTGCCAGGGTGAAGGTCTTGCCGGTACCATAGGGCCCAATGATAAGAATGGGGGGCAAAGGGATAGAGATGGGTGTGGTGATGGCCAGGATGGCCTCTTTCTGTTTGGCATTCAGACGAGGATCCAACTGCTCATCCCACTGCCTGAGGGCGGAAAGAGGATGGAGGCATTTTTTGATGACCAAATCAACTGTTATTATGAAACATTTCAAACTCAAGCATTCAAGTAAAATACTGCACTATAAACAAAGATTACTTTTGAATATAAAAAGGTAGTATGCCCGTGTAATTATTTTGTCTATGTCCCACTAAAAATAATATAAAAAGATCGAATGGAAGATGAGGGGCAGATGAGAAAGGGGGTAAGAAATGTGGGTTTAAATGTTTTCAGTCTCACTGCTACAGCTGTGTCAAAACAAAAAATGAAACACCAAGCCTGCCTTTACAAACATTTGGGAAAGTATGGGTCATTCCAAAGAGCACAATGAATTTTGAGTGTGGTATTGTAATTGGATACCAGAACCTTCATGATATTTTCATGGACAAGCAGCTGCATTCAAGTCATACATCACCAAGAACAATACAAAGCACCAAAAAGTGTAAAGCACTCCATCGCAACTTCAGCTAGCAGTGTGGGACTGTTATCTCCACATCACCTTCACCAAACTATAAAGTTTGGCAGAGAGGGGATAATTCTATGTGGTTATGTTTTGTTGGGGGGGGGGGGGGGGGGGGGGGGTGGCGGCCTGGGCCCATCAGTTCCATTGAAGGGAATTGATAATGATTCATTTTATTGAAGGGTCTTTTACGTTTCATCATGACTGTGCCCTAGTGCACAAATTAAGGTCCATAAGGCACGGCTAGACCAGTCTGGTGTGAAGGAGCTTGACTGACTTGTGCAAAAAGTGCAGAACTCAACCCTACCAAACACTGTTAGGGTAAACTAGGAACAAAATTGTGAGCCTGGGCTTCTTGTCAAGCATTAGTGTCTGACTTCACAAAGGGGTTTCTGGATGAATGGTCAATAATTCACACAGACAAATTCCAAAATTTTGAGAGCCAACTCAGAAGCTGTTATTGCTGCAAATGGAGATAAATTCCATGCTAATATCTATGGATTAAGAATGGGATATCATAAAACCTCATCTAGTTGTTATGTGCAGGTGACCCAATGTTTGCCCATATCCTACTGAGAATGGAGGGAGAAAAAAAAAAGTAGTATCTTTCAGTTTAACTGTTTTTGTCCACTACAGACGACATAATGAATAGGCTGGGTCTCAGGAGGACAGTTACAAGTTTAAAAAGGAAAAACTAAACACCCTGCACATTTCTCTTTTTGATCAATTTGTGTTGTATTATGAAGTTGACTCATTAGACAAACTAAGACATGCCAATGTGTCTGATGGCCAGGTCAAATTAAGTCATATATCATGCAAGTTTCACAACTGCATGAAACTAGCTCTCCAGAGGAAACATGGTACGGAACGTGTCTGAATGCATTTCTATGAATGTGCAACAAACATAACTTTTCAAATTCCATGTAGTTTTAGGATGACCAGTAAATATTCACAACTAAGCAGTTGTAATTTGTGTGCTAAACAAGACAGAAAGGTAGGAGAAAATGATTCACATCTGATTTGATACTTGTGAATTACTGTAAATGTAGCATGCGTGCATGTCTCCATGCATCACTATCATCATTATGGTGACTGCATCGTCAAAAGCTGTGAATCCCCCAGAGTCAATTGATTGAACTCCAGCTGAGAGATGCTGTAATTGGGGGAATGAGAGCAATCTCAGCATTTGCACAAGTGTGTGTGCGTAACAAAAAGGGATGCATAACATTAAGGAATATTCTACAAGTTACAAACAGCTTCAACTCTTGAATCCCAACAAGACTTTCTATACAAGCATTTTGTTTTTTTTCCTTCATACCTTACCTTGATATAAATAATTAGGACATGCCAATCGCTGACAGTCAAAGCAGACCATTTATTATAAACCAAAACATCTGACTTATTAAAGGTAAGCAATTTGTAATGGAAAGAAATTTTAAGACCAAGTCAAGGCTCTTTCACTGAAATTCTTTGATTTGGTTCTTAAGCTCAACTGTGCAGAGAGCTTCATGGAATGGCTGATGAGCAGCGACCCTAAAATAATCAAGCACAAAGCAAAGTTTTGATGTGGTTTTATAAAACACAGTGCCATTGGACTCTAGAGAAGTGAAGACATTTTCTGGAGTGAAGAATCACACTCAACATCTGGTAATCTAGTAAACGGGTCTGGGTTTGGCGGTTGCCAGAAGAACAGTACTTGTCTGATCGCACTTTGCCAAGTGTAAAATATGGTGTAGGGCGGTTTATGGTGTGGAGTTGTTATCAGGAATCGGGCTTAACCCCAATAGTTCCAGTAAAAGAAAGTCCTTATGCTTCAAGAATACAAAGGCATTTTGGATAATTTCATGCTTCCAACTTTGTGGGATTAGTTCTAGGATGGCCCTTTCCTAGGGCTGTGCGATATGACCAAAATCTCATATCCCGATATAAGACATCTATCGTCCCGATAATGATATAAATCACAAAAATTTAACATTTTCTGTAAATTCTGTGAATCTCGGGCAGCTCGACTTGCGTGAAGTGTTTCCAGCTGGGCGTCATGTACCTGGAGTCGAATGTTTTAACCGATGCATGACACTATACATTTTTAGACATAAGTTGTAGCGTTTTCTTTGAGTATTTATTACACGGCGTGCTGCGGGGAAAAGCCTGTCCTAACGTTTTAGTCTAAGGTTTAATTTTAGCTCCTGACGGCTCTTTTTGCTTCACATCCGTAAACTTATTGCCTATCATCATTTATTGGACTGATGAATGTCGGTTGGAAAAATTTTAGATATCACCCAACCTTTACTACACACCAAAGTCTGCATTTAGTCCTATAAACTCTTACCAAAACTAACTAAAGTTAGCAAGAGGTTAGGGTAAGATGCACAAACAAAAAACAAAAACAAACAAAAAAAGCAACAACAAAAAAAATCAGGTTTAAATGCACCACTAATACACTATTATGGGTTTATCGACACTTTGAGTTAAAAGATAAGAATCAGAACCACTTTACTTGAATGAATTTCTGAACAGATTATGCATAAAATGTCTAAGTTTCTATGAATTTTTTTTTTTAAACCCAAAAAACCAATTTGTCTAAACTGATAATACACAGTTGTATGTATCAAAATCTAAAATGAATACACCAAGTAATCCCTGTAAGTAACTGACTGAGTGAAGCCTTAAACTATCCGACTTGCAGAACCTTCTCTAGCACCTCCATTAGATGTTTTTAATAACTACTCAGAAATAAACTGTTATAGTTTCATCTTGATTGAACAGTTTGATCATGCTATAGCATCCTGTGAAGTTTCTTTGAAAGTTGTTTTTCGTGAAGGCATGGCTCACACCAATTAATCTTTTTGAATATAGTAGACTTCACCAAAATTCATACGATGCCTTCCTTAAATAAGGAAAGAGCTGCCACATCAACACATCAACGTCTAATATGAGCTCGTTAACTTAAATGCCTGGCTGCAAGTAGTGCTTAAGGAACTCATTAGTACAGAGACTTCTAAATTCGAAATTACTGTTAGTTATTAGTTAAGCCAGATTGTGACTGTCTATAACGGGACTCACATAAACGTCAGGCCATACGTTTGAGTAATCAATGCAAAAATCCCAGTAATTCCACAGTTTAGGCAAATGTTTAAAACACAAATACCTACCATAAAGAAAGTGTGCTTTTAAACTAAAGCCAAATTCACCTCTTGCTCCTTCTTTAATCAAAAAACCACATTTATCCAAATTCCAATTAAAACAAAAATCCACACGAATCCTATTATGGAGCTCAGATAAAGCAGCAGCTATGACAACTACAGGGATTATATTTGACTTTTGCTCTTGTCAATAAAGATTACTGTCTCACTTCCCTCACCTGTCACCAGAGAAATTTAAAGCTTAGGCAGCTGTGAGCATTTCCAAATTGCTAAAAGTAGGAGAAGTCTTCATTTAACTTTTGATTTGGTGTGGTGACCCCTCTGTGAGAGTATCTGTCAAACTATAAGGATGTGGACGTATTAAAAGAGTTATAATAAATGTGTTTAGGATTAGTTGCATCTGAAACCAAAAGCTGCATGCAAATATCTTCCCTCACTTTTAAACAACAAGTAGATGCAGCCTTTACTATATCAAATATCTGCCAGTCATATCCTCAGTATAAAAGCAACATAAAGCAGCATGCCATGTGTACAAAGTAAAATTTCCTTTGATCCCAATTATTTATTATTTATATGTAACTTTTGTGTCTCTGAGTTCCCACTGATTTAATTTTAGTGCCCTAACAATCAATGCATTATCATAAAAATGAATGCATCAAGTGTGTTCTTATGTGTGTGACATTGTGTACATGGTGGAGTACACACCTGTTAGGACTCCAGGGGATAGTAGGGACAAGGCTAACATCAGGGAAAAGGATAGTATTATCTTTGATGCGATCCAGGGCATAATGCATCTCACAGAGTGGCAGTCTGTTCAGCTGGAACTGGAGCTCCACCTGGCAGACACAACACAGAGAGCTTGTTTATCAACACAATTGTCTATATCCATCCATGCCAAGAAATCATACAAAATTTTAAAACAAAAATAAAGATAATTCCATTCAATTCGTTCATTAAGGTATTTGTGTGCATCTTTTGGTTTAAAGCTTGTGCTCATGATTCTCTTTCATGATGTGAATTTACTTTTTTTTTTTTTTTTACTAAAATAATTTATTTTATGCAAGCAATGAATTGCATCACATTGCAAAGTCTGCATCTGTGAGAACATTTTAAATATTAATATACACAAGTGCTCAGATAAAATGACCATCTAAACCAACAAATCAAGCCCACAAGCTGTGCAGTTGCTATGGAGCTGGATATTCTTGTCCATTCAAAACTAAGATTTAACTAAAATTCGCTGCATCCCATTCTCTTAATCCTCTCAAAAATTGCTAAACCTTGGAAGAAAGCCACCTGCAACACTTATGACTGAGCAAGTCTAATTAACAGTCTGAAAAGACATGCTTGCGCTGCACTATATATCCACTTTTTATTAGCCAAATGAAAACATCTAAAACCATTTACAAAAAAACAAACAAAAAAAAAAACATGAAAGCTTAAGCATGAAATAAACAATGACTACAAGAGTACAGAAAGTCAGAGACATTCAAGAGCTCAAAGGCTGTGTGGAATAAGAACCCACAGAGGAGACAGGGTAATAGAATTGTAGCACATAACAAGGCAGGAGAAGCATATGCAGAAGAAAAGAAGATTATGCTCCCACAGTGATAGAATGAGGAGTTGTTTTGATAACCATTAACACAGTGTCTTGTTTCCCCTGACGACATTCAGGCTTGGGGGGAACAAGCAAAATAACAAGCTGAGGCTGGTGAAGATAGCATTATTGCAAAAATAAATTTCCAAAACAATTCCATCAGTGTTGACATGGATGCACAACACAGACACATTTTTCCTTGAAACCTCTGCAATCATTTGCGAAAACTATAATTAAGCAGTGAACCTTTCATTCAAATTTTCAAGGTTAGAAAATCCACATGACAAGAATGATGTTCTCAGGCTGCATGTGGGAAAAAAGTATGCTTTATAAGAGAGCATTTACCAGCCCTCACCAAACCTTATTTAATGTAGGTGATGCCACATGTCTAAGCACATGAAGTGTGGTTCACCATACCTGTAGTTCTCTGTCAGGCTGCAGCCCGAGTTCCTCACAGCAGTGCTTGCAGATCCTTAGGAAGATGTAATCCTTAGTCTTCTCCTCAATCACAGCCTCATAAACACGCTCTTTAACTCCAGGAGGCGGCTGGCTGTTGATCGCTTCACGGCCCAAAGGTAGCAGCAGAACTGAATTTACCTTGGTCATCACTAGCCGCCCAGCCAGTGTGTCCTGGTGTTCAAAACAGAAATCACTGTTCAAGATAACTAGCTTACAGATGTTCTTGGTATATAGTGCCACTAAGTAGTACTCGGAGTGAAACGGCAAAAAAACAAAACAAGGTGGAAAGCAGTATGGTAGCTGAAATTAGAGTTAGACAACTTACCTCAGAAAGTGTTTCGTTGAGTTTGAAACGTGCAAAAAGCTGTCCATTCTGAGCATACTTTGCTCCAACAGAAATGCCAGTCAGCATAAAGCTAGTGACGAGCTGCAGGTTCACCTTGATGTTAAACCTGTGGGACAAACATAGACATGGGTTGCACACTTTTATCCTGAATAGTCCATTTAAAAAGCAAAAACAAAATAAACCCCCAAAAATGACAAAAGCCATTATACTGAAAAACATATTAATCAAATATATCATTGTCATAATGAATGCTGTGGTGAATTTAACATTTAGAGAAAATAAAACTGGAACTGTTTTGTTTCACCCGTTTTGTTTTATGAATATACAATTTTGCAATATATTCACATAATTATGTGATGTTTAAAACCATCTAAACATCAGAGTACAAGGCCAACTAAATACATCACCAAAAAACATTCAAGAAGGTTCTTGAACGAAAAACATTGGCACAAAATGTATCCATGCACATGTTTATTGAAATTCAAGGTCTTTTGGGAAAAAGAAAAAGGAAAAGAAAAAAAGTTCAGTTCTGGATTGTTTATGAGTGACTCTGACATGATGAAACAAGAACTAATATTATGTGATGAACTTGTGACAGATGACTGACACATAGTGTATTAGCAAACCAGTGATGTTACACAACCAAACGGAGTCTTAGAAGGTTATTTTTATGATTTTACATTAGTTATTTTGCTGGATAATCAAACAGGGCAAAAACTCTGCACTGGTTCTATTTGCTCAATTTTTATTTCTAGATAATCAGCTGATGTCTTTTGCCTCCCAGGTACAAGGAATGTGCCTCTCTCAAAGCTGAAGAAATTTCTCCAGATAAAACTGAATGACCCAAGCATGTGAACCTGGCAAAAAAAACCAGATTACTTCAAAGAGATTATTCATATGGAGTTTGAAAATACTGGAGATTAAAAGCCCTTTGAATATGAGCCATAACAACAGAAAGGCACCCACTATTCAAACGACACAGTCTTGAAACTCAGTGTTTTAAATGGCTATTATGTCCTGTGTGCTATGGATGGTCTACTGTACTTGTTTCACTGAATGAGGGTTTACACTGCGTTTCAACTTACCAGCAGTGTGCTTATTTCAGCTGGCAAACAAAGGGTAAACCAGTTTCTTTTCAGCTACCTCAAAGCCGTTATTAAACGGCACTAGCGCTTTTAGTAAAGCTGTCTGTGAGAAACACACCCTCCCTCTCACACATGCATAGAGCAAGCATATAGTAAAGGTTAAGTCTGACACCTTGTGGTGGTTTGCCATTTAATAGGAAAAGACTTGATAGTGCCCAGAATTTAGAAAAAATAATCTATATTGGTATATACATTTCTTTTTAATATATATTTGTACATTTAGGCAGTGCATGTGTAATATATATGGGAACATTAGTGCATAATATGGTATAAAACTTACTGTTCTGTACTTTTAGATACTGTGTCGCATTTGATTTTATTCATGTGTAAAATAAACTTTCCAATCAAAGTTTTATGTTCAAATTTCATATAAATGTTTTTTTTATTTGCACTGTACAGCAGAATTAAGAAACCTTCAATATGTATGTACTCACTTGCTAACTTCTTTGTACTGTGCAATCTCTTCTATGTAGAGCAGATCGTGCAGTCGGGCCTGGTAGTTGTCTTTGGTCAGAGTCTTGTCAAGGACTGACTGGGTGAAGAGCTGGTCAGCTGATAGAGGTATCTGATAGCGGGAAAGGAGGCTGCGCTCCAGTTCAGCCATCGTCTCATTGGGACTGAATTCAACAATGGTTTTACAGGATGAGTCCCAGCGTTTCGCAGTCATCAAGAGTTGCTGTCTGGCTGCCAACAGGTGCTCCAAGTCTAGAGAACAAAGAACAGCAAAATGGGTCAAAGCATTAATTGCTACTTTTTTGCGACTTTAAAAAAAAAAAATAATAATAATCTGGAAATTTTTATCCAAGTATCATCTTTAAACACAAAACTATCTGAAGTAAAACTTTATCAGATATACACACTAATAAGAGGCAACAGACTTTTCTATGCATTGATGCTCGTTTTAAAGCATACCTTCAATAGAGGCAGCATCCACCATGATCCGCTGCATTAGCACAGGTTCTGAACCAAAGTCAAAAACAATGGTCTGTCGGAAGGTACCAAAGATCTCTGTGCTGAAACCCACTGCAACCTTGTAGACACAGTGGTCCAGGCCATTGTCTGCTGCCACTGTGAGAAGAGGAAACGTTTAAGTACATTTGAACTAGCACTCCACTGTGCTGTAAAAAGAAAGAGCTAACCACATAAATTTAATATATACATTTAACACGAGGAATACATATTATGCACCACTGATATACAGTCTCTACCAATGTTTTAAAATATAGATATTTTTGGAGGTCAAAGCCCCCACAACAACTACATAAGTAGAACAGCATGGTAAAAGTTGCCTAAGGAGGCAGACTGAGAATCCAAGGAGTACACAAACACAGCAAAGTGATCACGCTAACAAGAACAACCAGACTTTTTGAATATTTGAATCTTCACTGTCAGAGATATCCCCCACACAATACACACAATTTTACCCGAGGTTGTCAGCTAGCAAGCCTCTGGTCTATGAAAAAAAACAACAACAAGCAAACACAAAAAACAACTCAGAGCCATACAGACCTAGGGGTGCAACCTGGCTAGTCAGCTAATGGAATTTAGCAATGCTGGGAACTTTGTTTACAATTTCTTGTACATGTACTCTTCTGATTAAGAACTGCACTATTTGTCCATTTGCACTGTTACTAAACCACAATAATTAAAAGAACAGACAGTTTGGCATATTCAAGTTTAGAAGTCAATAAAAATAAACAAAGATAAATGAAATGATTTTTGCTTGTTAATTTAGAAGTTTTGAAATATTAGAAAATCTAAATGAAACTTTTTGGACTTCTCCATGTTTAAGCTTGTCAATACCTATAAAAGGACTAATAGTTTATATAATATGGAAATCTTGTGGTAGCTCTGTCACACAAGGCATTGACTAATGTATGTACAGTGCTAGTATTTGCCCCCTTCCTTATCCTTCTATTTTTGCATATTTGTCAGAGGTTTCAGACTAAACAAATTTTGTATTGCATCCAAAAAATAAAAAAAATAAAAAAAATGCAATTAATGACTATGTGGAAAAGTAATTAGGATCTAAAGCTAATAACTGGCTGTTGGCAATCAAGCTCTTGCGGTAACTGCAAATGAGTCTTTTACATCACACTGGAGGAATTCTGGCCTACTCAAAGATCCTTCATTAATCCTTTACAAGAAATTACATTGCCATGGCAGCTTCAACACAGCCATAAGACCACAAATCACAAACAGCAAAACAATAGTAATAATTCCTATAAGTTGACATTATACAAATAAATAAAACAGCCAATAAGTAATGTGCAAATATGCAAACGTGGATAAAAATCATATCATCATTATGCATCAAACTGCTTCATAGCAGCTGGTATAAAGGACCTCCTGAGGTGCTCAGACTTGCACTTAGGTGCAGTCAGTTTTTGAAGGTTCTACCATTGATAACCTGCAGGGCATGGAGTAAGTATGCAGGCTTGATCTTAACTGATTCCAACTTCAAAAGTCTTTTTCTCTCCACCACCTGCTGGACTGCCTAAAGTTTACACCCAACTATAGGATCACCCTTCTTTACAGGTTTGTCAACTCTGCTCCCCAGCAGACCGCATCAAAAAAAAACAGAGCACTGGCCACCACTGTAGAGTAGACACTGCGCAAGAAGGGCTGGCAGATGTTGAATGCCCTTAGCATCTTTAGGGAATAAAGCCATCTTTGTCCCTGATTACTGTACACTGCCTCCATGTAGCTCTTCCAGTCCAACTTACTGTTGAGCTGCACACCA